TACTCTCACAAAGTTTGTACCACCCCATTGCACTATATAATACCTTGTAGGAACAGCCCTATTTTAGATCAAAGGGTTTGTGGTTGACTTGGGATTTTCATTTTTATCTAGAAAATAAGCATAGGTCAGTAAATTTAAGCATCTTAAAAGAAGAAAAGACAGCAATTCAGAAAATAATTGGGAGGGCTCTACCCATGTTGTTGAGATATGGGCTTACTGTGACATATTATTAAATAGACTAATTTAATCTGAACTTCTGTATTTGAAAATCAATCCTCCTACCCTATAAGTAAATGAAATTGATTTGAACCACAAAATCTAGTCATCCATTTAATTCTTTTTCAGCCACTCAACAATACAACCAGTATTTCTTTGTGCTAAGCACCATTAGAGTTCAGGAGAAAGAGGCATCAAGAAAACAAGCTCTGATGCCTGGAATTCACAGTTTCTGCTGTCATGGGTGTATAAACAAGTCATTCCAGTTTTCCAGCCTTGTCTGGGGAGTTTCACCCACTACTTCCAGTCCATTAGCTATGCCTGACCCCTCCCCCCAGCTTTGTTTCCAGTAGCAGACAATAAGATTTTGATTCTAATAGCACATCTCATTCCAGTTTAAAAGTGGATATATGTACATCCTACCTTTTTATTATTAAAGGATTCCATATATGCATATAATGAGTTTCAATAAATCCATCCTATTCCTGTCTAATTACTCTCCTATCTCCTCCAAGTTTTGCACACTACCAATCCCATTTGCTCTGTTTTTAAGCCTACCAATTCTTATTGTTTATAGAAAACAAGGCAAAGGCCAGAAGAAATGCATATTTATCTGTGGGACAGTTTTCCTGGGGGAAAGGACAACCTTAGGCTGCCACCATTTCTTCCTTTCCAGTAGCTGTCTCCATTGTCAGTAGAGATGGTCTGTTATATTTTGCAAGTTACATTATTACAGTATACAGATATAATTGAGCATGTGTGTGTATTATATGTGGAATATGTGCATATTTGTATAGAAGTTATATACAGGTATATATTTTAGTTACATGCATATACATGTAAATGAAGACACAGCTATATGTGTAACCTGTCTCCAAGTGTGGTCTGTGTATGTGAAAACAAAACTGACTCTCTGGTCCCTTGCCCAAATCATGCTATCCCCTGCTTGAGGGCCCCTTTTAAGTTCTTTCCCATGTGCTCATGGCTGTCCTGATCATATCATTCGAGGCTTGCTTTTTTTTTACATTTTTTTTATTGTTTTTAATTTAAATTTAAATTTGAAACAAGATTGCTTCACAAGTCAATTCCAGGTCCCTCTCTCTCTCCCTCCCCTCCTCCCACGCCCTCCCACCAATCCCTCCAATATCCCCTCATTTCCCCAGGGAGGCTAAGGCCCTCCATGGGGGTGTCCATAGTCTTTCATTTCATCCAGGGCAGGGCCTAGACCTTCCCCCAAGAGTCCAGGGTGAGAGTGCATCTCTCATTGTTGGATGGGTGCCCAAAGTCCATTTATATACCCGGGATAAATACTGATCTACTACCCAAGGCTCAATAGATTACCTAGGCCTCCTCACTGACATACACATTCAGGGCATTTTGATCAGTCCCATGCTGGATTCCCAGGCACCAGTCTGGGATTCAAGAGCTAAACCTTGTCAGGTCAGCTGTTTCTGGGGGTTAAACCAGCCCAGTCTTAACCCCTTTGCTCATCAGTCCTTCCTTTCTGTCACTGGATTTCTTGAGTTCAGCTCAGTGTTTAGCTGTGGGAGTCTGCCTCTGCTTCCATCAGCCATTGAATGAAGGTTCTGTTTCCCAGATTTTCTGGCCATGGGATTGTAGGTTGGCACTACCCAGATCTATGTCTAATCCATATATGAGAGAATACATGCCATGTTTCTCTTTTTGTTAGTGGGTTACCTCACTCAAGATGGTTTCTTCTGGTGTCATCCATTTGCCTGCAAATTTCAGGATTCCATTGTTTTTTTTCTGCTGAATAGTGTAAATGTACCACATTTTTCTCTCTCTACTCTTCTGTTGAGGGGCATCTAGGTTGCTTCCAAGTTCTGGCTACTACAAATAATGCAGCTATGAACATAGTGGAACAGATATCCTTGTATGAATGTGAATCTTTTGGATATATGCCTAAGAGTAGAGTTGCTGTGTCTTGTGGTAGGTTTATTCCCATTTTTCTGAGGAATCTACATACTGATTTCCAAAGTGGCTGTACAAGTTGGCACTCCCAACAGCAGTAGAGGAGTGTTCCCCTTTCACCAAACCTCTCCAACATCAATTGTTGTTGGTGGTTTTGATTTTAGCCATTCTGACAGGAGTAAGATTGTATCTCAGAGTGTTTTGATTTGCATTTCCCGGATGGCTAAGGATGTTGAGCACTTTCTCAAGTGTAAGGCTTGCTTTTTACTCTCTCCTTTTAAAAGAAGTTTTGTGATCACTCCCCAAAATCACTCTGTCTTCAGTTTCTCTCTATCCTTATTTTGTTTCTCTCAGGGTATTATCTTGATTGGTAAGTTTCCTGGTTTTCTTGTGTGTATTTGATAAATGTCTGTCTCTTCTTCTAGGATGCAATCTCTGTTCAAGCAAAAAACCTAATCATGATTGCTGTATCTCCCACACCTAGCTTTAGGGCCTCATCTATGGTGACTGCAGAATGGATCAGCAAGGTTGATGAATGCGAAGAGTTTGACAAGCAGTGTTGGATACCCATTAACCTGCTTCACAGTCTAATCAGTATGGATGTGTATTATATATACACATATTCATGTATGTATATGTACCCATACAAATGCACACACACACACATGACAATATGTGATTGCAATATATATATATACATATATATATGTGATTGTATACACTCACATCTTTGCATATATGGAAACATACTTATAATGTACAACATATGTACAAATATACAAAATTTCAATCATGTACAAGCACATAGAAAAATGTAATGTACTCATGGCCTTGGTGCTTGAAATCTTTAACAGTTGTCAGCTATTTATTACTTTAATTCAAAAATATAAAATCTTGCTTTTTATTCTAAAGGAAATTCCAGATACTGCATTATTTTCCCTATAATTTAATGATTATTTTAAAACTTAAAAATTCTACTTATTCTATCTAAAATCAATAAAAATCTTTAATTTAAATACCTATCATTTAAAAGAATGTGTTCTTATTTTTTCATTAGGTAAAGCTTTTGCTTTTGAGTATTTGTCTATAGCTTTCTTGCTTTAAAATTTATGCTTATATTTTAGTTTTCACATATTAATAAATTCAGAGAATTTCTTCTTAACTTAGATGAGTTATCTTTCAAAGATGAACCTCTTCTCAAGTTGCTTCAGGGATAAAATGGGGAAACATCTTTTTGGTTTGTTTTTCCTTCCATTTTTATTTTTTAGGGAGAACTTCTACCATGAATCATTTAATTCATTGCAATCTTATTTTGTTAATCTGCCATCAGATGATAATATTCCTTCAAAAAGTAAATGATCCTGAAACTCTTGTTCTGATGAATAGTCTGAAATGGTGGGGAGTCAATATATATTTGCTAATTTTTTTTATCCTGATTTGGATAGTGGCTAACATAGTCTCCTAGAAATTCAGGACTTCTTCATTAAGGCAATATTGATTAAGTCATATGGCAGCAATTTTGCCTTCTTTTCTTGTAAGTTGCTTGAATTGTAATTACTTTTCTTTCTAATTTCTTAAGAAAAATTGAGATAATGTTAATAATTGCTTGCATCATGACTTACTAACAAGGACAAGAAACAAATGTATTCTTTACAAAGTTATAATATCCTGCCAGAAAGGCACTATTTGTTGGCAAAAGGGAAAATCTTACTGAGTTGCTGTGGGTGTGATGTATTTACCTGTGCCAAGTTGCTGGTTGTTATTAAATTATATGCTTGGTTTTCATGTCAGAATATTATAAGAAAAGTGAAAGTGTTCCCATTGTGGTAAACTTCTGTGGTGAAGAACATACTAAATAATCCTTTCCAGTTACATCCTTTCCAGTTACATCCTCTGAGTGGATCACCAATGTGACCGCCTTTTTATATAACATTGCCACATATTAATCAGCCAGCGTCAGACAGGAGATAAAGGAGAGTTGGAAATATCCCTGGAGACACAGAGACTTGACTCTGGTTTTGATGGCATATTATTCTGAGGATTCACACATTTAATGACCTCCAAGATAGAGAGTTCAACACGATAATGCTGTGTGTATTGATTTGGTTCAATTCAGGAATTGCTCATTTATTGCTTATATTTATGTAAATAAAACACCAACATTTTATCTTCCAATTTCAACATGTTACTGAATTATTGTGATTAGAGGTGGAGTTGAACTAACATTAACAGGGCTTCAGTTTCTATCATGAAGTGCAAAGGAAAAATTACATAAAATTAATACATTCCTAACAATTTGAACATGTCTTCCAGCATTAGTTATTACAAACTCACCTCTTTTTAATTGTTCAGGGCAATTTCATGCAAAGACTTTGACATATTTTCTTTTCAGTCCTATGTTCCTTGCCATTCATATTCCTTTTCTGTAACCATACCTTTAAATTATTATATGGTTAATTTCTAAAAATAGGGGTACATGATCTTTGGAATGAGTGAGGGTGGTAGGATTTAGCATCAAGGGAGTTTCAAATAATCGTGTATATTAAAATGTGTTTTCAGACATTTATTTTTCTTAAAACAGCAGTAAAAGGATAGCATATAAAGTAGTAGTTGTAGTCATGCATTTAACAACTAAATTCCTTTTTCCTAGGTCATTGTTTTGCTTTCTAAGCTTGAAATCACTTTTTGGAACCAAATCATAGTAGACACACAGCTATGACCCCAAAGATAAATATTATTTTATTTTCCTTAGTGGAGGAGGGGCAAATTAACTTATAAATGCAAAGGATTGCTTAGTGTTTGGACAAAGTTATACAACAGAACAACCCTGGCCACTGAAGTGTAAGAAAACATATGTGTTATATTGATAATTGGTTTGATAGTTTGGCTTTTAATATTGCTGGGTACAAAAATCATTTTTCCCAAGCATTGCAATAACAATGGGCCTCTGGTATCTGTTTCGCCTCATCGCTGATCCATTCAGTATAAAAATAAATTGAGCAGTGCATTCTGTCAGACAGCATTTTATGGAAAATACAGTGAGGTTGATATTGTGCTCTATTTCTTAAACTTATCAAGCTACACTACCACAAGGAGACATTTACTGTGGGAACAAAAGATTCATTTGTAAGTACTCCCTTTGGCTGCCAGGTAAGGGATATCGAGGATCTGACAGGTGCATAGTGTTTAAGGGCATCAGTCTGGGACAAAAAATGAATATAGAAGAGATGAAATCACTGTGTATTGAGCAGTGGGGAAGGAAATGATTTGTGCTGCCTGCTGGTATAGAAAGGAATATTATGCACAATAAGAACAGCTCGGTTCCTTAGGCTCCACTCTAGAACTGAGGATGGGTAATATGCAGGATGCTTTTATCTTCCCGCGTGGCCCAGGCAATTATTTGGTATTGATTTTCTGGAAGTTTTGTCTTATATGTCAGCATTTTGTTGGCAAACTTCACAACATAATCCAATCAAGTTGGTACAGAGATGAGTGTGGGGAGAGATAAACCCTCTGCGAGCCAGTTCTTTGCGTGGCCTGTAGGTAGCCTCTCTACATTAAGAAAGCTCTTGCAACCGTGCCTTTCCATCAGGGGAATTGTAGTCTTGGGGAATCCCTGCGCCTGATTGTGGCTCTCCTCCCAGTAGTGCACTTTTGACCTCTGTATTGATTCTGTTCTTTCATCAAAAGCGCTGATGTAATTCCATGTGCTGGGATCATGCCGCGATTTGCATTTAGGAGCTGCAACTGTGCGCTGACCCCAAACCATCTCATCAGAATGAAAGTGGACCAAATGGCAGATGCGTTTCCCCATAATATTAAGGTCTATTGTGTCATTTGGTGGGTTTCTTTATTGTATATCGAAAAGGGCATATACCACCCACTCTGGATTTTTATTTAATTCTAATCAGAGATTGGGAAGCACTTTAAAATCTAATAGGAATCAAAGGGGATTTTATTGATTTCCATACCTGGGCCAATAAGTAACAGTCCAATCTGTTAAATCAACACAAAATAATAAAATTGTGTGCATATATGTTCATAAATTCTAGTACATTTAAAATTTATCTATTATATTAGTTTTTTCAGTGTTTTCTTACTAATATATAGCAATCATGGAGCCAGAGTTGACTTTCTACATAAATATAGTAAATAAACATACTATTTAGTAATTCCTAGAAGAAAACAGCAAATATTATCAGTAAAACCCAGTGCAATCTAAATATTGACCATCAAATTAATTTTGCTTTATTTTCATCTCTTTCTTTCTTCCTGTTTAGTTCTATCCTCCTTTTATGTCCTCAGAAAGACTATGAGAAAGTGAGTTTGTAAATTTAAGTACCAAAAAAAGAACTTCATTGAAAATCAGTATAAAACTGTGACTATCAATAATATATTGTGCTTTCACAACTCCCCTTTAAATCCTAGTCATTCTTACTTATTAATTGTAATAATAATATTTACTGACTATTTAGGGATGGAGTGAGAATCTAGTGACGATCTCTTATGGAGCTAAGAGCCTAAATGGAGAGGCAGGAAAATAACTGCAAGTAAGTGTGAATACAACAAGAAGTGTGCATATTTAGAGCTGCATGCAGGAGTTATTTTATGTGACACCATCATTATTTGGGGGAAATGCTGGAAAGTGCTGGGAAGTGATGACAATAAAGGAGCTAAGGAACTGAGAGTAGGGGCAGCCATTTCTTTGGAAACAAAGGAATAGATCTCTGATTTGTTTTATAGAAAGGAAACTGTGTAGACATGAGACCACAAAAGAGGAAGAAGGCTGTGCAGTACCTGTAGTCCATATACTCACGAGAAGCTGCTGCAGTGAGATCTTCTATGGGGAAATGCATAGAACTGCATATTGTGCCAAGACAGGTGGGTGATTAGATTGAGATGGCAGAGGGAAACAGAGGGTCTATAGTGTTTAATAAATGTTCTGGGATTATTAGAAACCAGAGGGAATTTTCCAGATTGTCACAGGTAGGAATTTCTAGTATCAAACCAATAATCCACAAACCTATATTTTTAAAGAGATAAGAAATACAAAAGAAAATGGCAGAGGTTGTAGATTGATGTGGGGATTGCATGAGCCAAGATTTTTTAAAAAAGATTTTGAGGGAACTTATTCCATTTCAGACGAATTGGATCTCTTAATGCAGAAATAAATTAAATAATATTTGAGTACAAAGTATTGATTAAAGAGTATTTATATTTTAGGCTGCATCAAATGTTTACAAATTGTATGTCACTTTCACTTGTATTGTCTTTATAGACCCTAAAAGCAATCATGTGAGAAAAGGAGTTATGGCATCCAACTCAGGATGAGACTTGACTAGAATTGACATTCAAGTGGTGCTTGCTGAAGGTTAATGGGTAGTAAGTGGCAAAATCTGAAATCCAGGACTCCCCAGTATAAAACTTCTGTCCTTTCCACTAACATTGTACATAATACTATATTTGAAGTGATAAAAATGCTTGACAATGTTTTTCTTTAAATACCCTCTATTTCTATAATGAGTGTTCATTCTTTTTTCTAAAACACACACTTTGTTAAAATTTCCAGGAATATATCTGTGAAGCACATTGAAATTCGCTTCTAAAATCTTTGTACTATGGCTGCTAAAGAATTGAAAGCAATTTCAGATGAGTGACCCCCATATGCTTCTTATTGGTTTAGAAGACGCAAGATATGTGAATACTTTTATGGGTAAAAGAAAGTGTTTTTAAATTCCGTGGTTTTGAGAAGATGGGTTAACAAAAAGGATTATTTGAACATTTACACTCCTACTGGTACATATTGGGACACAATGAAATAAATACCAAGTTGTTGACTTTTGTCTTGGGAATAGGGATTTAGAAATCTTTGAACAATTTCTTAACCACTTCTATCATATTTGTATGGTATTTTATGATATACAGACTCACTTGAATGAATCATAATAGACTCTCAATATCAAGATTGTTCTAATTAGTCCTTATTAGAAACAATAATGAGATAACAGAGTGAAGTTTAAAAAAAAACAGGTGAATACCAGTTATGTTTACAACATGTGCATTGTTCATCTATTATCTACAGTTTAGTTGAGGCTATGTGACGGTTTGAATATAACTGGCCTCCATAAGCTCATAGGAAGTGTCACTATTAGGAAGTGTGCCCTTGTTGGAGTAGGTATGGCCTTGTTAGAGGAAGTAGCCACTGAAGGTATGCTTTGAGATGCTGAAGCCATGCTCAGTGAGGCAGTTACTTCCTGCTACCTAGGGATCCAGATATGAGTTTAATCTCTATTCCAACATCATGTGTGCCTCTGTATAGCCATGTTTCCTGCCATGCTGATAATGGATTAAACCTGGAAACCGTAAGCCAGCCTCAATTAAATATTTTCCTTTATAAGAGTTACTACAGTCATGGTGTCTCTTCACCGAAGTAGAAACCCTAGCTAAGACAGGAGTTAATACCAGGGACTGGGGTATTACTGTGATAGGCTGGGCTATGTTTTTGTTTGGAGGAATATGAACTTTGTGATTTTGGATTAGAAAAGCAAATTGAACACTTCAAATGGAGGATTAATGGACCATCCTATTACGCACATGGAAGACAATGGTACTGTGGGTGATTTGAACTGTGGGAGCCTGGTTCAAGACGTTTCATAGAAGAAAACTGGTAGTATGTGGCCTAGAGACTTTTCTTGTGATATTTTGGCGACAGAATGTGGCTGCTTTTTGCCCTTGTCTGAAAAAATCTGCCTGAAGCTAAATTGAAGAGTATTGGATTAATTGTATTAGCAAAGGAAATTTCAACCTAGTATTGACTCTGTCGTGTGGTTATTAGTGTTCACTCTTATGAAGATCTATAATAAAAAGGAGCAAGCTGAGCAAGGAAAAATACAAGATATATAGTTCAAGGAGAAAAGGGACACCAGGAAATAGAATATAGGTAAATCCTATGTTCTAGGAGATAAACAGATTAAATAAAAGCCTGATATTAGGTGTTAGATAGAATACAGGAAGTGGTGGCCTCAAGGCAATATTCTATCCAGCTAAGTTTCCAACATGTAAAAAGGAATTACAGAACAATTTAGGTTCAATTCCAGCACTCCAGGAGCATAGGCAGGTAGATCTCTTAAATTTAAGGCCAGACTGGTCTATAACGCAAGTTCCAGGACAGCCAAGCTTAGGTAGTGAAAGAAACCACGGAAAAAAGAAAGTTATTGAAGATATAACTGAACAAGGAGACCATGTTCAAGCCCCAGTAAGCAGTAGAACTTTTCAGCTTCAGCCACGTTTCTGGCTTTAAAGTCTAGGGCAGAAGAAAGGGGTTACAGAATCTCTGTCCATTACTAAGAAGAGTTGCTGAAGCTAGGCATGCATGGTTGTCCCTGAATGGAGGCATAGAGAGGTCATTGCATGAAGCTATGAAGGTGAAGCTTGAATTGCCTTGGAGACTCCAAATATTGGCATGATGGAATCTACTGAAACTGCTCAACATAGAAGGGAGTGCTTGCAAGGAAAACCGACTTTATTTATTCTGGGGCATAGACTTAACTTCTTCCTGTGAGCATGGAGGGAGTTTATCATTCTGTATATGTAACCTGTAGACATAAAGCCATTGTTTCAATTGAGGATAATGTTGAAAAATGTTACATTTGCATCCTATCTCATACTGCCTATTATCAAATGTTGACTGTACTGACAATATTAACTATGGACAATGTGATATTTGGGTATAGGATTGAAGAACCTTTAGGTCAGGGAAGACACATTTTCTTGAATATATGATTTTCCCTCATGCATGTCTCTGTCTGCAGCTAACTTACTTTGTTTTTAATTTAGAAGTTCCTTTTATACTTGTTGTAGTCTATCTTGCTTTGAGTCATTTACAGTGGAGAAAGTTATCTTAAAACTGTCTTATTCATCAGAAAACACTACATTTGACAGCCCAGCTTTGCTAAGAAGTGAGGACCATGCTTTTTGACACCACTTCATTGAAAGGCTGCAGGGATGGTTTCACTCCATGTGCTGTTCCCTACCAAGATATAATGTAGAATATAGAAAAATGTAGCAAACACTTCAAATTTTATCCAACATTAAAAACTTCAGATTTTATTATTAAAATCCACTATTGTTTTATTATTATACAATACATTATTAAAACATTCTTATTTTAATTTATTTGCATTGCATTTATTTTTATTTTATACATTTTTAGTGTATGTGTGTGTGTGTGTGTGTGTGTGTGTGTGTGTGCGTGCTGTGTGTACATGCTGCTATAGACCAGAAGAGGGCATAGATACCTTCAAGTTGGAGTTACAGGTAGCTATGAGCCACTCTACATGTGTGTTGAGGACTGAACCTAGGTATCACAGAAGAACAGGAAACCTTTTAACTACTGAATCATTTCTCTAACCCGTCAATCTAGCACTTAAAATGGAATGTTGCAGAATGTGTTATTTGCAGGTTATGATAGAAGAACCTCATTTATTAGTGTTGCTCTTCTGTGTTGCAAACTTGCACCCATATGAAGGTGTTACATGTTGTAATTATCTTCTAGGACTCAACTTGCAGTTATCTATGCAAGTAAAATGTAGAAGAATTTATCTGCTGAATAGCAATAATTGACTTTGTTTTCAATGAGTTAAATCCTTGGTACCATCTAGCATTTATAAAGCATATTTGAAGAATTTCACAGAGGCATTGGAATAATCTGTTTGATTAAAGAAAGCAAAATGAAAATACACACTATATCTCAGTGTAGCTCCATGTTATAATTTGGGTAATGATGTTCACAAATAGTGAGAAGCAGTGGTACTGGAAGCCAAAGGGATGATGGTTAGGGCACACATTGGTGCAAGTCCTAAGAGTAGTGGAATTCTTCTCTCTGAGAATGTGGACATCCTTGCTGCCCTCTCTTTCTGCATTCCCAGGGTCATTTGCAGGGTCTGGTTGGGGCTGGAGCAATAGCTCAGCCATTAGGAGCACTTGTTGCTCTTCCAGAAGACCTGGGTTTGATTCCTAGCACCCACGTGACACCTCACAGTTGTATGTAACTCCAATTCTGGATCTGATGCCATTCTGGCCTCCGTGGCTACCATATGTAGTTGTTGCACACACTTACATGCAGAAAAACATTCCTGCATGTTTTAAAAGCCTAGAAATTTTGAGTTTAGTCTGTGGAACCTTGAGTGTTTGATTCTCATATCTATAGAAGAGGTTCTATTCCATACTCACCAGGGAGATTAGAATACAGCTATATCTGTTGTAGCCCCTATATTTTTCAAGTGAATAGACAGAAAGGGTTTATTCAGTAGAACAAGTCTGTTCAAATGAATGTTACCAATGAGTAATTTTTTTCCAGGGTGACTGATCATGCCCATGGAGTCTTTAGCCCAGTCTTCTGTTGTACTTTCAATACACACAGAAATAGCGATTTCCTGCCTGTTGGCTTCTGCTACATCCATGTACAGAGAGACGCTAGCATTTCAACCCTTCTATGGTGACAGGTGATACATCTGATTGTTTGCTGATGGTGATTTGGAATATTGATGCTTTAGAAAAATAACTCTGTTGAACAGGCAATCTGCACAGCTCGCAAACCTCACAAAGAGCATTGATATAAATAAAGTGTCAACCGGGTGCTGCAGCATTGTGCAGAATCATTTTCAAATTTTCCTTTTTGAATTATTAAATAGACCATGTCAGAACAACTCTGATTATTATCCAATCCATATGCTTCAGCACCAGGCTTTTCTGTAATATCAAGCGACTGCAGTGATCAATTGGACCAATCATGAATGCACTCTCATTCTAGAAAGGATCCAAGTGCCTCTCAGCGCTTGCAGCCTCTTGTGCAGACATGCAAACACCTGCTGCATTGCTTACCGGGTAAGGCCACCCCCTCACGCCTTTAGGAACATGTGTGCAGGCAGTGAATATATACTTAATTCTTTACCATTCAGTTTAAATGTGAGCATGCCTTCATGCAATCTGAAGCATATTTAGGTATGTTAGATATAACAGATTATTATCCAGCTAGAACTCTCTACACACCAGGACTGTTTACCGAATGTATATTACAAATTAAATATGTCGGGTCATATTTCTGAAAATTGCTGTATAAAAAATAAGATGCTGTCTTTTGTCCTTTAACAACTACAGCGTCTGCTGGAAGCGGTGACACTGATATGCAGGCATGTAGCCACATGTAATTTATAAAGTGTGATAAAATGATAATCTCTCACCTACACTAATAAACAGTTTATCTAGATAAATAACTCTCAGAATGAATACAGTGGATGCCTTTAGGGTTTTAGACATTTAATTAAAATGGAACAAAAGTATTAACTGTCAGCTTTTAGATTTTAGCATTTTTTTCTCGAAAAGAATATCCTTTAGTCTGAGAACACATTTGTGACAGTCAGTATGAATAAATGCAAGATTCTATTTTTCTATCCTTCATGAAAATGAGTCTAAAAATGCCTGTGTAAAATCATAAGACAAAATGGTTTCCTGTGGATGCGTCTCTGTTCCCTGGGGTGGCTACCCCCAGGGTCTGGGTCTCAGAGCAGGACTGGGGGCCCCTGCTCTGATAATTGCCAGTGACTAGAGGTAGCACTTCTCCTCCCACACTTCTGCCATCTTCTTCCTGTGGTGCAATCATTCACAGTGACTGTTAAAGCATAGGGCTTTCTTTCTTTCTCCTGGGTGTGATTTTGATGTTGGACACAGGGAGGCAGGACAAAGCAATGGCAGAGAACAGTCAAAGGGAAAAGCCACCGGAGAGGCCCAGGACACACATGCACATTGCCTCCCAGAAGGAAGAGAGTGCAGGGGCTTTAGGGCTGCTTATTTAACCCCAAAGATACACCATGCTACCAGAGATACATGAAATCATAACTCCTTATTTTAATTTTGTCCCCGTTAAAACTGATCCAGGTATTTTCTGAGCCAATGTTTCTAGATATCCCCGTTCTGTGATCAGCTCAGGCTCTTTAAATGCATAGATCACACACTACATATGTATGCTGTGCGCTTTATTGTTGAATGCTTATCAAGTTAAACAGACTCAGAGCATTTTCTTTAAAGGCATAAAGGAGAATCAAAGAATGTTATACAATCTGTATTATAAATCAGTGGTGGTTTAGTGTTGAAAAATTACCCAGGGCATTTGTTCACTAGCAGAGCACACTTGACATACTCACAAAGCATGCCATAGTTGCCAGGAATGCATGTGGTCAGGCTTTCTTTTTGTCTTTTTCTGTATTTTTAAAAAATGCTTAGCACATTTGGCATTCCTGTAACATGGTTACAACGCTCTTCCCTGCTAGTTTTCATGTGCTGCACTCTTGAGAGTGATACAAGCTTAGGAAAATAATAGGTAAGAAGTTATATTTCTAACATCACTTTAGGTTGCATGGAAATTTTATTTTCCTCTGTGATAGCACTTTTGGGTCTAGAGAATAGGACATTTCCTAATGGACAAATGGTCATGATGGGACAAACTTGGTATGGTTTATAAAGTGGTCCCAGAGCTTTGGAGCAATGATGTTAGTTAAATGGGGAAATGTGAAGTGGTATGTTGATGACAGAGATGGGGTCGTGAGATTCACAATTTGTGTCTCTGTGCATACACACCTGTGTCTTCTTTCACGGCACCCAGAAGTTTATGCGACAGTGATAATCAGAAAAAAAATATAACCCGTGTAATTTCAAATGAAACAGAAATTTAGGCAGTCTGTTGTTAATAATCCAAGTTAATAAGCACATTGCTTGTTTGTCTTTTCCTCTAGGTGCATTTCAGCTATCACTGTTGATGAATACGAGCTCAGAGAGGAGCGTCTCAGCATTTCAAGACCATTGTCATGGGGATAAAGCAGGAAGGGAGAATCTATCTATATATTTTCCTCTTGGGCAATGGAAGTCAGCGCATATGATTCCATAGCCTTTCAGCTGTCTCCCCTCCCCCCACCGTCTGATCACATTATTCACACAAAGAACCAATGAGCCGTTTGCCATTACCTTAAAGTCCTATATTAATGAGACAGCTACAATTTTTAATCACTTCAGTTAAGCCTTGAATATTCTGTTTGCTAATATCAGGCATCCATTCAAAATGAGAACAAGTGTTTTATTATCTTTCCTTTGCAAATAGCAAATAAAATATTGAGTTTTTTTCCGTAAAGTTGTCAGTTTTTCTGAAGGAATCTTCTGATTCTTCTGGAGTTAATCTTATCTCTAAAAACACGAGTTTATATAATGTGTCCCAGAGAGGCACCTAGGGAGATAATGGCCCAAGCGTTTTGTTTTTCTTACACAGTTTTTGTTAGAAATAAAGGCATACACAAATAGAGTTGTAAGACAATCTCTATCATTTAACAACACTGAAACCATTTGCAGGGGCATTGAACGTCCCCTAAAACACCAGTTTGCATACTTTCTGAGAGACAAGCCTCTGAATTAAAAGGGAGGACTTTGGTCTATCTTTTCATTATGGAATGTTTTCTTTTATTTATTAAAATGGATTGAAAACACACTTTAAACAATTTAACTTTTACTTCTATTTAGCTAATAACTGTTTTGTACATAAATCAAGCTATTTAGGTCAACCACATCTTACAAATATAAAAATATAAGAAAATTGCTCTGCCTTTTAAAATGGCTACATATAAGGCAGTAGATGTGGAACCTTTTGAAAATCGTTCATTAACTCTTACTAGTCTTTCTTTTTAAATATTTCTGCTTGATTAAAAAATCAAGTTGTTGGAGAGTATTAGCAGCATTCAATTCAGAACCTTTATATTTAATGAGTACATGGGATAAGCTGTAAAATACTGATTTCAGAGAAATAGGAAGGGCACTTTAAAATTGTTTGTGCCTGTTTCCCTAATACCAGGCTATAATCACAAATGGGTAAACCTAAGTAAAAATTAAGAAAAGCAATTCCTGTAAAACCAGACTGAAATGACTAATAAGGACGTGTTCACCAGCATACATGTTGTACCCACATTATTGAATGTAGTCTTTTAGAAACAGAATCAAGAACACATAATAAATTTTCTTTGACATGTGTTTCTCACCTCTCAGCAAATGATCTTTTATTAGGAGTTTTTTCTAATGTTCATCAGAAATCACTCCATTGACATATTTTAGAATTTTGAATCTTTCTAAAGCCCACTCCCAACATTTGGGATTTCAACATGTTATAGTGATATTACTTCAGCTGCTGACAAGAAAAGGTTGTTCTTCGTCCACTGCAGTTACAAAGATGGAGTCAAGGTTCTGTATGGGAATCTGAGGTTTTAGTCCAGTTGCATCTCCCCAGTCCACCCTCACAGGGAGCAAGCCCACAGTACTCCTTGTTTGCCAGCACTGGTGCTGAGCTGTGCCTTTATCCACTATGGATGCACTCTCTCTTGAAATGAGCCCGACTGACATCTTTCTCCTCATTATAATGATGATTTATGTGTAATCTCTCAACTAAGCACTAGACCCTGTGACTGACCGAGAGTGTCCAAACTGTAGAGTCTTGAGAAGTTCTCACCTGTGTGGTTGTTCTTAGCAGACACTCTATCTTCTTAAAGTAGTTGTTAAACCCTCTATTTTAGGTACTGATTTTTTTAATTAAAAAAAGATAGCAACCAAATTTAAGGAGCCAGATTGAAATTTCAAATCATCACACTGAATTTAAAAGTCTGTTTTGCATAGAATATACCATTTTTTACTTTATTTTTATCAAGTAGAGCCAAAGTGAAGTTCCTTTTCCTTTTTTAATAGCCAAATACATGCCCAATTTAATATCAATTTTAATAGCAGACAGTAATCATTCCCAATCACTTACTTTAGTTTTCCTGTCTTTTTCAAGATGTCAAATGTCGTCTCTCTGAATATCAAGTGCATCAATTTTCCTTGTTTCCAAATTTGGCTTATTTTTAAGGACTGTGCAATGCATGATACCACTACCCTGAAAAACATTCGGAAGTCATTCTGCTAGAAAAGAGGCAGTAAATGACTTTCTTTTATTCACTCCTTTACTTACTCATTGTTAACAACAAAAATGAGCTGAGTGACTGCTTGATTCCTCTTGCCTGCATGCTTACCCTAAATTTTCTTTTCTTCACACACGAAGAAGCAAACACTGTCCCTGTCAAATGATAAATGAGGCAGAATTGGTGACGTGCATGTTTGTCAACATAAGCAAGATCAAATGATTGCTCAGCAGGAAGAAGCCACGGGAAATCCAATGATTTTTTGACTAATTAGCAAAATAATAGTGATGCTTCTCTAATGACTATCTTGTACTGGGTTGTGGCCTTTTATCAGACATGTTCCACTGTTATAAACTTGCAGTTACAAGAGAAGCCAGTGATTTAGATAGAAATCATGGACTGGGGACATTTCTAAGAAACATTTGGAGGCATCTTTCTCTTTCTCACTGGAGCAATTGATACTAGAAACTCAGCCACTTTCCTTTTTTAATATATAACCCATGTGTCAATGAAGTAATTATTTGATTAGCCATGTATAATTTTCAGGAACACTTAAATGTCCCTGTCTGTTCAGGGAAAAGTCACATGAGGTATTCACAAGGAGAAATGTTGAAAAATAATACATATGAACAGTGATTAAGTTTTCAGGATACTACTCAGGGGTTCAGATTTCTATCCACGTTTGAAGGCACATTGGTGAGATGCTAACAGAAGCTTGAATTCTTTGTCCCAGCAAATGTTGCTGCTGCTAACATTTTCTGTGAAGTTTGTTAGTCAATCACTATTTCTAGAAAACACAGGAAGAAGACAGCAGGGACCACAGTGCCTCTACTGAGCTGTGTGGATTCTCTTGGATGGGATTTACTTACAGGATTCCTTGCTCAGGACAAAGCCATAGACACCTCACTGTTCTGTGTGCCAGATCTACATCGGAAAAAGCAGAGAACAAGGAGAGGCAAACAAATTTAGAATCCAGGGAAAACTAAATGGGAAACTTAAATTGTCATGGGGCATCTTACTTGGGTATGTTGATTGAGGCACCCAAGCTGCTTGAATTATATTAAATATCACCAAGAGAACAGGTAAATTTGGTGAATGATCAGGGAGTAGACATGGTTCCATGTTTCCAATTCTTTTGTTTTTCATATTAACAAGCGAATCATGTGTTTTATCCTTTAATATTACACACACACACACACAGACACACACACACACAGACACACACACACTCATGATCTTCTAGCTGATGCATAGATCGCTATAACACATTACCACAGAGCTTTGCTGTTGGGTGACTATGGCTCCTGCATATAGCAGATGATATAAGGGTCCAGCATTACCATTTCCAAATTTTACTTGTCACTATAATGCTGTCTGAGTAGTTTTTTCCGCATTTCTTTTTTGGCCCAAGGTCATTCTATAGCCCTTGCCCAACGAGCAGTGAATTTTGATGTCAGAAACTGGAGAAAGCCAATAGCAGCATCTTCCTTTGTCTAAGCCAGGGAAGATGACTAATAGGGAGAGACAGGGGAAAGAGCAGATGACAGTGGTGTTGGGGACATGGTAATGAGGAGAGGGGAGATGTGCTGAGGACATGCTAGGGTAGGTCAAGGGGTGAGAACAGAGATCACTCTAATGAACCACATGGCTGCCACCTTCAAACAGATGCTCCACAATTTCTCAAAGTCTCCATCAAGCCCTGTGAATTTTTCTTCAGTTCTCCAGCTCTGCCTTTTTCTGTATCGTAGCCACTCATCACACATGGCTAGTTCAAACTGACATGTACTTTCAGTGCAAAATAAATACCAGGCATCAAGGATATAATACTAAAAATATTAGTATTTAGTAATACTAAAAATAGTAACTTCAAGTGTGTCATTAGTAGTCTTATATCAGTTGCATGTTGAAAACGCTGACAGCATACATATATCCTGTTAAAAATAGTTTATTGGAATTTCTTTGTTTACATAAGGAAGGAAAAACACTATCAAAATATGTAAAGTTATATCTTTAATAGCCACAGTTTTGAGTTTCCATATGAACATTTTGGATTCTCACTGGCCCTGGAAGGACAACCAGCGTCAGTTCCATGAGATAGTAAAATGCTAACTGCAATCCAGGATTTCACATGCAAAGCATCATCGGATCTAGAGCTCTTACTCCCAGCTGCCTCTTTCATTTTTGCCCTTCCACTCAGGCTACCATTGTCCCTCTAATCACCACAGTGCCATATGTCACAAAACCAGGGGAAGGCTCTATGGCCAGAACCTACTGAAGTTATGGAAACCAGCCTATTCTGGGCCTGCTGAACCTGCCTTCTCTGTTCTCTCCAGAGAAGTCCAAATGAAAACTCCTGCTTGTGTTTTTCTATGGGGCCTTTGCCTACTGACTGCCCTTGGGGCTATCCTTGTGGTCTCTTCTCAGGGAATCTTTTCAATGCTGTTAGCCTCCATATCTTGGTCTTGTCATATATGAATACTAATGAAAACCCAGTAAGATAAACATCATGTGAAATCTAGATCTGTGTGTGTGTGTGTGTGTGTGTGTGTGTACACGACATGAAACATGAAAGCAGAAGGGGGCTATGAGAGAGGAAGGAGCTACCCACAGACAATGTGGCTAAGAGAGGGGAGTGGAATATATGGACATGGAAATGAAAGAGAATTCTGTAGAGTTCAAGGGGAAGAAAGGGCTCAGGGGAGGTTGGTGGGGGAGGATGGTGACTAAGAATGATATCTAATGAGCTATATGCATGAAACTCTCATAAGAAATCTCATTACTTTATATGGTAACCAAGAAATTACTAATTAGGAAACATCATACATTGTGTGGATTTGGATGAATGGGGAGTGAAAGGATTCTTGAGGAGTTGGGGGAGGAGAAACCGTTGTCAGAATATATTGCTTTAAAAAGATCTCTTGTCAATAAACTAAAAAATTATGGAAAAACAATAACAATAAAAGAAACACCTACATTGAAAAATATTTATTCTGTGTACTGGGGACAATGCTGTGCTAGAGTTCTGTCCCTTCAATTATAGCCTACGGGTCACTTACAGCAGAATCACTTAAGGGATGACATATCCAGATTCCTGGGTCTAGTGTTTGCAGCATAATGTTGACTTAATATGTGTTAGTCGTTCTTCTTTGAGACCAGGATAATAAAGAAATAATCATCATGAAAGTGTCTTGTTTCT